AATAACAATTGCACAGAGGAACTGAAAATGCACACTTTGGTAAGTTTCAAAATGTTTAAAAATAATCTAACATAAAATAGAAGAAATTATGATCAGAAAGTCATTTTGGCATTAGTATGGTGCAGTTCACTGTAACACGGTGTCTGATGCTACTTTTAACATCAAATAGTTTGTGTTTTGTATAAAGTTTAGGGGCAATAAGCTGTAGCTTCGCTCCACACACTTTAGGTCGGTAGAATAAAAAAACGTTTTCTACTGTTGATGTTGTAACTTATGTTTTGTTATCTTTCTTTTTCCTCCTCCCCTCTTCCTTCTCTCTCTCTCTCTCTCTCTCTCTCTACAGTACTTCCTCTCTATGCCACCTCTCCAGTCCTCTCTCCCACATTACCACCCTCTGCAGTTTGTGCTCTTCACACTGGGAAACTAACGCAGATTTGGCCTTGATCGAATTAAAGCTCCCCCCATCCAATTACGTCTCATTAACGCTGTCTCCCTGAGTTTTCAGCTCTCCATTTCTCTGATCAGTCATCCTGTCCTTGCCATGCTCGTCTTAGATTTCACTGCAGCAGCACAGTGCAGCCGCCTATGACTAGAGCACTGTTTCCAAGCCAAAGGCCGCAGGTAGGAAGTGAGCAGAATAGTAACATGATAGTGTTAAGATGCCCATCTTTTCCATCCTCTCGTCTGCTTCCCTTCCTCTTTGGCCTCCGTCCCTCTGACTCACCAAGGGAGCGGCTGTGTCCACCACGTCTCTCCGGATTTCAGTTTTGGGAGGAGAGTCGCTGCCCAGATTCAGCTTCTCCACTGAGATTTCTCTGCACACAAAGAAAAACAAGAAAATCGAAATGTAATCTCTATTGGATGAGCTCTTTGCCGAGGTGTTGAGGTTTTAAAATCTAGAGGCAGCTGGATTAGAATGTAGATATTCAGACGATTGATCTTTTCCCCAAAACAGGTTGAAATGGTTCGGTTTTTCATGAGCCTCATTGATTTAATAACAAAAATGAATGAATGCAAACCTGAAGCATCTCCTAATGTGTCTTCATTGAATTATGCAAAAAGTAATGGCACAGATAAGAAAAGGTATCATTGAGGCCAAATAACATAAATCTGTCAAAAAATGATGATTAATTACATCTTTATTAGAAGTTGTATCACTTAGAAATTAAATATAAAAAAAAAAATGGCATTAGAAGATAAGTTTTAGCACCAAACTTGAGAGTGTGCTGTTTAGCATCATTTCTGCACTTAATGCCTCATTTCTCACCAGAAAGTTGGGCCTGAATGTATAATTTCAAATACTTAAACATACTTAAAAAGCATTTTTAAAAGTCTTTTCTGCTGAGTAGCAGGCGTACTGGTCACCCACCCAGTGCTCTGTGTGAGCGTGTTGCCCGTGAAACTGGGAGTGTAGGCGGGTGTGTTGCTTCCACTGGGGATGGCGTTCCTCAGCAGGCGGACCCAGGTAGCGACGTCCACGTTCATCTGACGAGCACGCAGGAAGGCCTTCCCTGAAACACACAGAGTGGAGTATAACTAATGAATGGCACACCACGAAAACCTCTCATTACGGGCTGTGTTTACTAGGAGGAGGAAAATAAAGAGGATCCATTCGTGCTAACTTCAGCATCTGATGGAGGAAGGTCTCCTGCTGAGCTTGCATTTCCTGTAAATGCTTATAATCACACTTCCAGAAAATACCACAAGCCATTTACACTTTATCTGCTGCCGCGCCTCTCAACCCATTTGGCCTGCAACTCCTTTAAACAAGGCAGCTACTGCTGGTTTGTTTGGGACGGATTAACCGTCTGTTCAGTTTGTTGTTTGACATTCTGAGTTTGACATGTCTGTCAAAAATGCTTTCACGTCATCATTTTATCCTATTAGACATTTGTGTGGAATTGTCATATTTAGCAAATCAATTCTTGAGTTGAGACAAAAAATGTGTTTAATGACATCACACAGTGACCTTGATCTTTGACCCCTAAAATCTAACCTAGTCCAGGTGGAAGTTTGTGCCTAAATTTGAAAAGAATCCCTCCAGGCGTTCCTGAGACATCACGTTCACCAGAATGAACAACCTGGAAACATGACGCCTCCGGCCAAGGCTGTCGTCAGAGCAGAGGATTAAAAAGAGCTTTCAATGCACACAGACCCAAAACAATGACACACTGTCTCTCTCTCACACAAACTCAACGTGGTGCCTCTGAATATTATATTCTTACCACCACGACACTCATTGACACTCAAACACATTGGTTTTTGTCATTTGGAGAAGAAGAACTTGCCCGTCCGTTTTTGAAATTCCTTTATGAGTGAAGACACACTCCATGTTTCAGTTCAGTGGCTGTGTGCGTACATCCGAACATACCGTGCTGTTTAGAGAAGACTTTCTTCTGCCTCTGGAGTCTTCGGCCTCTCTCGATCACAGGGTTGAAGAAAATCACCTAAAGCAAAAAACAATATGTTAAAACAACCAACATGCATCTGCAGTGAGCTGTTTGGCCAATATCTATTACACTTTACCTGTCCCGTGTGTGTGTGTGTGTGTGTGTGTGTGTGTGTGTGTGTGTGTGTGTGTGTGTGTGTGTGTGTGTGTGTCCCCTGTACCTCAGCCAGCAGCAGCCCCTGTGGCTCCAGTTCCAGCTGGACTCGGTGTGTTTGGTTGTCCAGGAACTCCTCCAGCTTCAGGTACTTCAGAGCGCACAGGGAGCGGTAATCTCTCCAGTACACTGCAATCTCCATCTCCCGGGACTAATCGCACGAAAAACACACACACCAGGGATGTAACGTGAAGGTTTGATCGCTGGTCCAGGATCAAGTTTAGCTTGAATCACACTGTGACTTACTCTCTCCAGGTCCACAATGAACGTCTGGTCCCAGGTCTGCTCTCCAACTGTCTTCCACACCGTCTGGCCCACCACTGTGTTCTCCAGCTTCAGCACTGCGCTCACCTCCGCTGTGAAACACACACACACACACACACACACACACACACACACACACACACACAGGATCTGTTCAACAGCATGTATTTATTATACACTGTGAACATCTAAAAGTCACCGGTACGAAACAAGAAAAAAAGAAAAGAAACACTCACAGGAGAGCTCGTCGTTCTTGCCGGGGATCTTCAGGCTCATGCTGCTGGTGCTGCGGCTGTAGAGGCCGCTCAGTTTGAACGAGGGGCGTCCGTCTCCCAGAGAGTAAGAGGGAAGAACCAGCGGGGTGCCTCTGTTCCGCCCTGGGACGACCTCCAGCAGCCCCACACAGCCCAGCAGATGCACCTGCAGAGTACCTTGAAGGAAGAAAAAATGAATTCTAAAGATTAGTGCTTGAAAGATGGACATCTCTGCAGCTAAACAAGGAACTAAAAGTTTAAACTATTTACAGTTTCTGTGTCTACCTGTGAGTGGGGACGGTTTGCTCATGGTGCTGTACTGGTTGTGGACGTAGGGGGTGCTGTGGCGGGAGCTGAAGGCCGAGGAGGTGGCCAGCACCAGCTCCTCCTTGATGAGGCAGGCCTTGGGATGGTCCTCGGGCAGCTCCTGCAGCCTCTGCTCCAGAGAGCACCGGAGCAGGTCCAGGCGCTGGGACGACTCGCTCAGACCGCACTGAGCCTGCAGACATCATTCAATGTTTTCTACTGAGTGCTTTTTTTAGGAGGGGAGGTCGGGGGAGGGGGAGAGATACTCGGGGTGACACCGAATAGTCAAACTATTTGATCTGCAGAGCCTGATTGGACTGCCGATCTCACAGTCGCAGTGACAGAAAATGTGGTGGGCTAATGACACAAAGGAATAACAACATGGCTATTTCTGCATGTATTAATCAGAGCACTCGCATAAGAGCGAAGCACTATCAGAGATGTATTTATGAACAAGGCTGCTTCTCCCTCCTGCTGATTGTCTCTTTGTTTCCCTGTCGTTCGCCTTCTGTCTGTAAATTGCTACGATGTGGAAAAATGGAATTTGGACCAAAAGTTCTTTCAAAACCACAAAAAACAAGCAGCAATTCAAATGTGCTAATATGGAACAAAAACTGAGCATATGGGATAGAATAGTTCATAACTGCATTAATAATGTGTGGTATGTAAACGTGTATACTGTAAAAGTGGGAAAAATGGGGCAAAATGTTTTTACCTACAGATCTAGTCGAGCATTGATTTTTAAATTGATAATTTGGAAACGTTCGACATGTTGGGATACGCGCCGATTCGCTTTCTTGCAGAGAGTTAGATGTCTTCAAATACAAAGCTACAGCCGGCTAGCTTAGCTTAGCTTAGCACAAAGACTGGAATCACGCCGACCAGGTTCTGTTCAAAGTTAACAAAATCTGCACTTCGACAAGTCATTTACATATGTGTGTTAGTTAAACTGAATAAACACACAACAATGTGGAATCATTAACAAAATATAACGAATATGTAACATGGCGAAATTGATAAAAACATGTTTTGTGCAGTGCTTCTTCGGTGTGCATCAACGTTTACGAGCATTTATCGGAGCCTGACATTGAAACAGTGATCTGAGTGTGTTTGAGCCTGTCGGCTCTCTGACCTCGGCCATGGCCTTCTTGTCTTGGACCTTTCCTGCGCCGAGCAGTCGCAGCATGTTCTTGGCCCCCTCGGCCATGGCGTGCTCCACCCGGTAGTGGTGCCACAGCTCCTCCACGCGCAGCTCCATCCCGCACATGTCCGGCTTACCTGGGACACAGCGCCAGGTTTGTCAACAGATGGCGCAATATCTGTACAAAATGTATTTTCACTGAGGGGAGAATCTATTGGGCAAAACACTGGTTCCAGATTTGATCACAGTTATTGAGGTTGGCTTGTGTGGAAGGGTTTGCTTCGTCTTCGTTTGTCCTATTTAGGGGAACGCTTCATGTGCTCAAATATTTACCCTTAAACATGCAATAGTTTTGGCCACATGGGTCAGCGAATACGAGCTGTAAACACAACACCACCGCGTATCATCACCTTTTAAGATGATACGGTAGTGGCCAGTGGGTTTTTAAAATCAATTTGTTTAAGACGGACAAACTGTGGCTGAAAACGGCGCCAACGAGAGCTGTGAGAATGAAGCCAACCAGGGATGCACCAATGGCAGTACTGGGTCCGATGCCGTGTTCATGTACTCGTATTGGTAAAACTACTCCGATACAACCGCACCAGATGCCACTACGGCAACGTGACATTAAGCTCTCTAAGTTCGAGATGATATGAGTCATAGCAGCTTTAAAAGCACAGAGCTGAAGAGAGAATAATAACAGAGAATGGAGAGAAAACAAAAGCTTGATCCTGAAGTCAGACAGCTCGCCGTGCTCTCCGGGATCACTGCTGCTCTTTCCGCTGCTCCGAGCTTTTGTTTCCCTCCCTGCTCGCTCCCTCTTTCATCTCAGACTCCTTCCTTCACTCTGTTGTCATCTCTGACTCGGCCCCCCTTTCAGTCTCCCTCCCTTCCTGGCTCCCTGCATGTATCCTGCCTCGTCTCTAACCTCTGCTGAATGAGGCATGGCTTTTAGTTGTTGGGCAACATCAAGGCGGATGCAGAAACATCAATAAGGCTCCAACCTGAGAGAGCGAAAGGGCTGTAATGGAATATGTGCATGTGCATGTGTGTGTGTTGACCAGAAGCCTGTACACTGTGAAGTTCTGAAGCAGGAATCGATCCATTACCACCCGCATCATGAAATATGCAGTGTTTATAAGTTTTAGAAGAGTAACAGGTGGGATGAAAGAGGAATCGGAAGATGAGAGCGAGGATGAAAAAGAAAAGAAAAAGCGTGATAGATACTTTGGTTGTCCTCAGACTGCTCCGTGGCCTGCATGGCCTTTCGGATCTGCATGCGGATGATGTCGATCTTTGTCTTGCTGTCCTGCAGCATCTGCTGAGCCGTCTGGAGCAGCTTCTTGTCCTGCGGAGGGGAGAGGAAGCACAGGAGGAAATCAAATAGAGAGTAAAGGAAGTAACTATGACAGAATCTGCCACGGACAGTGAAGTGAGCGACGGTCGTGGCCAGATGAATACCTTGTTACCTCCGTTGGCATAGATCGGAATCATGTTCTCGGCTCCTTGTTTGACCTTCAGCTCGATGTTTAGCTGCCGCTCCAAAGCTGCGATGCGGTGCTGGTTGGCCGACATCCGATTGAAAGACCCCGGAGACCTGGGGGTATCTGTGCAAGCGGAGGGGTTGGACGGTAAGAGGTCAGGTTACTGTTGGTGTAGCGCGTAACGTTAAAGACCACTGACTACGACTACAAAGCATCCAATAGGTTTGTATGTTGATTTCCTGCCTTTGAGGGAGCCACTGGTTTCAGTGTATGCCCGTGTGGTATAAAAAACACTTGCTTGAGAAATGTAACCTCATCATATCGAATGTTTGATTTCTTTTTTTTGTTCTGTAAATTTCTCAGGTGGCGATTGAGTTGTAAATAGGTACAGTTTTGAAAATCAATCCTTGTTGGTGCTTTAAAGAGCGTCAAATGAAATGTGAAGACAAACAAGTAGTGAAAGGCTAGCTACCTTTAAGGCAGACCAGCTATTCTCATGTTAGTGAGAAGCTGCTCCTCTGAGTTTTGCTCACAAAACAGCAGATTAGCGGAGTCATTTGCCCGTATCTCATATGAAGAAAGGGGCCCCGGTGGAAAGACATCACTGTGCAGATGAAGTGGCGTTTCACATCTTTGTTTGTTTGCTTTTGTTAACTACATTTATTGTTAAAGGGATTATTCAAATACCCTTTGTTTTAATTCGTCTTTGTATCCAAACCGTAAATCGGGTGTGGTGTGAAGTAACCAGAGATTATATTTGTAGTCCATATCGCCGGCACTAGAACATTGTGGAGAGGATAATGTGACTGGTATACTAGTGACGTGGCTCAACGGGTGGCAATGGCTGATTGGTTTACCTCAGCAACATTAACTGCCTTAACATTTTGTACAGACATCCATAGCCTCCAACAATGCATCACCATGTCCCAAATGGCACATCCCACAGTGGCAGAGCTTATGAACCACCTCTCCACGGTGGATACTGTTACTGATACGGTGGTACCTTTGTTGTCATCGGGGCCTTTGACCACAATGTGTGCGTCCAGCTCCTGCAGCTGGGCCTGGAGGGACTCCAGCTTGCGCTTGGAGCTGCGGATCTGTGAGTCCACCTGCTGGGCATTCCTCTTGTCGGTGGTGGCCCTGCGCAGGTTCTCCGCGCCCTCCTTGATCTTCAGCTCCTTGCGGATCTCCCTGCGGATCCTCTCGCGGTGCTCGTCCAGGCACTGCTGAACGCTGGAGTCTGAGAAGTCAGAGTTCTGGTCCAGGCCGAGCTGCTGGAGCACCGGCAGCCCGCCCGGATCGCTCTGAAGGGGGAGCAGAGGAGGAGGAGAGCACGACGGTTAGGCAGAAGTCACAAAAGGAGAAGGAGCTCAAGAGGAGGTGTGCAGAAGATAGTACAAATGTAAAAAAAAACAAAGGAAACTGTATATAGCCCACTGCGTATGCGGGGGATTATTCAATTTGAGTTGAAAGCAAAACAGAATCAAAAGGTGACATCCAGCTGAGAGGCGCTGAGCCGAGGTCACGGCAGACAAAGCTGGCAACGGTCGCCCCGCACAGTTCTGACGAAGTGGAGCGCCGTGGGATGAAAAGAGGGGGAAACAAACAGCAAACCCCAAGTGAAAGCACAACATGTGAAACCCATCAAAGTCAGCGCGTAAAGATCCGAGCGCTCACATCAGCTCCTCCTCCTGATCAACACCAACCACATAACAGCAGATTTTGTGGTTTTCACCAAAAAACACCCAGATACAGGTGGAATAAGATACTGATTATGGGATTATGACGATCATTCCTATTTATTAGTCTCTGTTTTGACAATTTTATAATTTAGAGTACTAATTCAAATTGTATTTATTTTTTTGCATTGATAGCTCCTCCTGCATTAGTGTCCTTCATGGGCGGGATTGTTTTTGTTCATGCTAACTTGACCCTCTCCTTACTAGGAAAACAGCTCCGAGTGTGCGGGAGCTGCCTCTGAGTCGGGTGTTGAAGCATCATCAAATGTGAATCGGTGCTAGCTTTAGCGAGCTAGGCTAACTTTGTGGGTGGAACACAAACTTGACAGCGTGACGTTGAATGTTGTAAAAAAAGGACGAACGCTTTTAGTCACTAGCGATACTTTACAACTTGTATCAATGCTCATCGGCGACACAGGACTCTGACATTTAGCACAAAGCTCGTCTCCTGGCATAACAGGGGACAAAATAATGTGAACACCTTCCAAGCCCAATGACACCACCACAATAAAGGTCTAACATTACTGCAGGTGAGTCTTAACTAAACATTATAAGTTCTGCAAATGGAATATACTGCATGTTGCAGAGCAGTTGTATTTTGACAGTTGTTAGCATTATTGTGTTCATCCCCTGTGTATTAGTTTCTGTGTACAGGGAACCAAATTCAGCGTAAACCCATTGAAAAGGGGAGATGTCATTCATTAGTTTGATGTTGTGACATTAGACCTCATTAGAACACACACGCACGCACGCACGCACGCGCGCACACACACACACACACACACTGAGGACTGTTCCCCTTCCCTCTGCCCCAGTGTAATGGCGGGGTGCTCGGGGCCTTTCACTGCACCATGCAGCCAGCCGTCCAGCTTAGCAGATCTGATTACAACTTCTTAGGTCTCTGTGTCCACCCGGCTACATGCGGGCCGGGGCTGCAGCTCTGCTCTCATTAGAGCCATAATCCATCTGTAACACAATACAGTACGACGGTCAGCCACGGCCCCGCCGGCCAAACCCAACCACGTGGCGCAGGCCGAGTGCCTGCAGGATTTGAAGCGCTGCTTTAATGCGACGTTACGTCATCGCACGACTCTGGAGCGATGTTGGTTGAGCATGTTCCACAAACATGGTTGTGGAGCAAAGTCGTGAAGACTAAGAACGTGTTTGGTGTGGAATATCCTCAGACGCAACATCTCTATTTAAAGATGTAAACCGATACAGACATCGACATCACTGATAAGCGCATGGACGTGAACTTGTACATTCACTGTATATATCATACGGAAAAAAGTTATAAGGCTCTAAATATGTTACTGAATGATGGAAAATGATGGAAAAAATGATTCAGCACAGTATCGCGATATTTCGCAGGGCAATATTTGTATCGATACATGGACGCCAAGTGTCGATCTTTTATTATATTAACTATTAAAATTGCAAATACAACTCTAGTGCGGTCAAGGGTAAAGTCAGCGGGGATTGGCAGGAAGTTGGTCAAAATAAGATGAAGTGTTGGTCGGTCTGTCTGCTTCACTGACAAACCCATTTCGCTGCAATAAATCTGATTGAAGTGAGATGAACCGAGTGGAAACTTTCTCATTACATGCAACAGACGTTGACGAACTGCATACTCTGCAGTTGAAAAAATGTAATTACAACATATCGCAATATTATACGTCATCGCAGTAAGATTGTATTGTGACTTAGGTATCGCAATAATATCATATCGTGGGGCCTCGAATGATTCTTACCACTAATTTCAAGCAAATATTGAAATAATAATAAAGGGTCTCAATGAATATGTGTCGTGTCACATGACTAGTGTACATGCTCACATGACCAGAGCCGTTTACTTCCTGGCTGCACCACGAAATAACACATGCTGCATCAAAACAAATATTGGTTTTAAAGTATGTTATCATTAAGAAAGGACGACATTTATCTTTAAAGTGTCTGGCACAACTATGTTCATTCGCAATTACGCAACTTTTTTTGTAAACATGTTGACGGCAACAATAGTGATCGAGGGGAAAACACAATGCACCTAGGTATATACACACACATATAAGTAGTTCTTGTTCAATGTAACTTTCTACTCTGTTCTTTCTTTCACCTTCACTCTAAAGCAAGTTCTAGCGCCACTTTATTAGGTACGCCTGTTCACTTGCTCGTTAACGCACGTATCTAGTCAGCCAATCGCGTGGCAGCAACTCAATGCATTTAAGCAAAGTAGAAATGGTCAAGCCGATCTGCTGACGCTCAAACCGAGCAATAGAATAAGGGAAGAAAGGGTGATTTCCTGCGGCAGGCCTGAGAAGTTCGAGGCAGAAGAGAAGGCCAAGGCAGCAACGCACCGAGAACGACAGGAAGGGAAGCGCTTGTGCTGTGACGCAATCCTGTTGGGCACAACACAACCTAACCCCTGGCGTTTTACGACAAAGAATCTCAGGAGCGAGGCGTGAGTTAGCTCACACAGCGCGGCGAAATCACAACAACGCACAGGAATGAGAACTAGCGAGTGATTCGCTGTCGGAGAGGAGATGTCTTTTTTTGCAGGAAGTGAACGAGGAAGACAGAAAAGAGAAGGGCCGTAGTAGTGGATTGAAAGACAAAAAAAAAAAAAAAAAAAAGGGCGGCCATGCTGAGGGCCTTCTGCGGCCACAGTTTGCCTACCCAAGACTCTGTGTCACTCTGCTCAGTGTGTATCGGGGAGTCCACCGGTTGGTCCCCCGGCAGGTCCTCCAGTGTGTCCTCACTGGCCATGTTTGGCCTCCTTCTGGCTTCGCTCCGGGTCCCCCCCCCGTTCTCTCCTGTCACAACACTCGGCACCGATGGCAGCGCCAATCAGGGCAACACCGAGCGCTTTTTCCTGCCTCCTCAAAATCCAGGATGTCCTTCTCCGCCGGGAATCAAAAAGGCGGTCTGAAACCGGAGCGAGTGAACGAGGTGGAGGAGAGGAAGAGAGAACAGCACAGAGCGAGCCCCACCTCGCTGCTTCCTGTTCTGCTCATTGCCAGATAGAGGCTGAGGCGTCATGCACTTTGTACACACACACACACACACACACACACACACACACACACACGGGTGGTTTTGTAAGTGAGAGAGCTCACAGCCACTCTGCTTCCTGCTACTGGGTCACCAAAGCTGTTGTGATAGATTGCTGTCATGTTACATGGACCATCAGACCATGTATGTCTTTGTTTTGTGTGTTTTCAGCATGTGGAAGTAGAATACAGTCCATGTCTGCAGACATGTGCAGCAGTATTTCTATTATTTACTTGCAGATGAATAAAGAAAATAGGCCGCACTGAGGGAAGTGGACACAAGAGAAAACACATTCCCTCTATGAAGCACTAGAAGGTCCTTCTACTGAAAGGGACTTGGCTTCTGAGTGAGCTGTAATAAGGACAGGTCTTCATGGTAAGTTGTGTTATGAGCTAGACAACCTTTCCTCCTGTGAACAAAGGTTCACCAAAAGCAAAGATCTCTAAATCTGATGAAGGGATTCTGCTTTTTTTTTTTTTTTTTTTTCCAACAACTACAAAACATGAAGCATCCGTGCATCGAGTTCGCTTATGGTTTAACAGGACGCCATATGGAGACACATGGCACACACACACGGCACACACACACACAGAGAGGAAGAGACGGACATTCCGCCTACAAAAGCGGGACGGCAAGCTGAGTCGCCACCTTACGAGACGTGAACGGGTAGAGATCGCA